TTTAAAAAAAAACATTTTTCACCACCCATCCCACCCAGGGGAGGACATCCATCTCACAGTAATCTCACGTGTGGGAAATTAACGTCTCCTACCCCAACCCTGCAGGAGACGGGACCTCCATTTATTCGTCCCTATCCGAGAAGACTAGAATATCTAACCATTTCTTGATGTTATAGAAAGGCAGCGAATTCTTCTTAATTATTTTAAGACCCTGAGTGTTGGTCCGGCCGCGGCTCGAACCCTTGACCTCCCGCACAACAGTCCAGCGCTCTATCCAGTGAGCTAACCGGGAGGCGGTGTGTAAATCGTAGCCTTTGTAGCTGAGGTTTCCTGTTGCACGCTTTGAATTTTTGAGCACTGCAGCTCCTTGAGGTTTAGAACTGAATGTAGTTTGGTTGCTTCTTTATTTCATTATGCACCCCAACCCCCTTTCCCCAGAAAAAGGCCAGCATGCTATTGATAAGGCAAAATGTTATATTGTTATTTACTAGGCAATTCAGAGACAAAAGCGGTCAACAGATTCTCTCCTCTACATAACTTGGGGTAGGGATCAAGGGAAATTTGTAATTCCACTGCAAAATAGCCATTGTTTCATTTACTCAAGTTTTATTTTCTCAAAAGCTCAAGGTGCATGGCTGCACAAAGGCAACTGAAAACATGCCACAGTTTTAAAAATAAAAGAGTTTCTAGATCACTTAGTTATAAAATCATTCCACTTTTATTTATCTCCATTGAAGTTGAGAATTTCCTATGTTTAATTTTCTTCTGTATCCAAGGACAAAATACTAGACTAAAAGCAAAAATTAAAAACAAAACACTAACTGCCCAAGCTGATTCTCATCAAAAGTGTTTTACAGACATGTGAAAATTACTCTGTGCAGTCATGCATACAATATCATTCTTCATCCCCAAGATCTAACTACAAATTCTCATTAAAAAAACAAACAAACAAATAAAAACACTAGAAGGGGAAATACAGCTGATCTTACCAATAGAAACCATTTGATGCATCAATAAGCTCATACACAAGATCTGATTTCATTTGATTTATTCTGTTGATCTCTGTGAAAGAAATAGTTAAAGAAAATAAGACCAAAAGCAATGAATGTACTTCACGTGTCTGAACAATGCTAATTAACATAATATTGTGTGACCTCGTCATTTGAAGTAACTAAAACATTTTATTCCCGAAGATATAAACATATATCTTGCCTTTCCTTCATCTTGGAATAAATACTACTCTGATTTTTGTTATTTATATTCTAGAGCAGCTGATGATAGTGATATTGGTTAACAAAGCATTTTGGGTACCTTGAATTCCACCAATTCTCTTAAGCCACTTGAAAACCAGTCCCATGATATAAATACTGTATGTTGGAGGTGTGTTGTACAATGAGTTCATACCAGCTTGGATCTATCAAGAAAAAAACATGGAAAATGATTGTGACTTTCAAGTTCTAATAAAAGTGGCAATATAATTGGTAGACACCATCCCACTTTGCAGTTGGTGATCACAAGGTGCCATAACCACTTAAGCAGAGACTGAATTGCTAATTGGAACATTTGATTCTAAATTGTCAATTAAGTTGAAATATTCAGGTTTCCCTAATCACAAATTTGATCTCTAACAAGAGCCCATTGAGAAACTAATTAAATTACCTTGTAATCAAAAACAACTGGGCATTGTTGCCTTGCAGAACCAATCAAGTCTTCTCTCACTAAAAATGAACAAGAAAAAAAGATGAATATCACTCTGTAACATAAAATATTACTCACAGGGTTCCTCCCCTTTTTCTAGAACAAATTTTAAGGACTCTTCCAGGACTTTTCCTCCACGGACTCAAATTGATTTTTCCAGGACTTCAAATTTCGCCTTAAACCCTTTCAATCCAAAGATTTCAAAATCAATTCTCCTTACCATCTACAACCCTTTATCACAGCATTGATTCTGAAAACTCTATTTCTTCATTTAAGCAGAATGAACTAACCTATGACAACAGTAACTCCTGCACAACCAATGTTCTTTTGAGCTCCACCATAGATGAGTCCAAACTAGGGGGAAAAAAAGAAGACAATTAACAAAACTGAACACTTTCAAGTGGGAACTGAAAGATGATTACACACATATTTACACCCATAATCTGCTTCCCTCCTCAGCAAAAAATATATATCAGCAGAGAAATATATCTCCTTTATTGTTTTTAAAAAATATTTTTAAAAATTTGATCCCTAATTTTTTGAAAATTTTTCTGTATGTTCTTAATGTCCATAAGAGGATGCTTCGTGTAGCTCACCTTACTGATGTCAACAGGTCTTGACAAGATGTTTGACGACATGTCACATACAAGTGGTACCCCATTTGTCTCTGGGACAAAGTCAAATTCCACTCCTGCATGAAAATAATTTTCGGAACACAGGAATATAAGCATGAGAAAAATTTAAAAAATGTCTGAAATATTTATGCAAGTGCTGCAACAAAGTGTTACTGGGTGACCTTAAGATTTGATTCAGTATCCAGCATTTATTACAGTAAAACCAACACAGCAATATGCAGGGCTCCACACTAACTTTTCAACGTACTAGCCAAGTGGCTAGTGACAACTTAGATGTTACGACTATTTCAGTTTGTTTACTAGCCAAACTGGCTGGTGGAAATCAAAAACTACTAACCAAAACTGAATTTCTACAGTAAACTGTCTGTGGCCAGTTGGCTACTATTAGAGTCAGGCCCTGCAATGTGCATATTCAATTTGCTTTTTTATTCAACAAAACAAAAGATGAAGACTTACCATGAATTGTTTCATTAGCACAGTAATAGACATATGATGCATTTGGATTTAAATTCCATTCTTCCTGTGCGGGGATTCCTTTAATGAAACAGAACCATTTTAATCAGCCATTTCCTCAGTTTCCAGTGAAATGGTGACCCAGGAAGCAAAGTTTAGATACAGAAAGCCACATGCAGTTATGCATAGAAGGATCACTTTTACACCTCTCTATATCCATGGCAGAATCCTGGATTTTCTTTTCCAAAAAAACTAAGGAGGTTTCAAATGACTTAGTGAAAACTTACTGTCATATTTGTCCAACTTCTTGAAAACTGGGTTCACTTTGACATATTTCTCTGCCTAAAAGGGAAATAACAAAGTTTATATTGTTGATTGCAAAACTTGTGCCATTCCATTAAAAAAAATTTAAAAAAAAACATTTTTCAGCCTATAGTGTACAAGTGAAGGGCCAGTACATAGCAAAATAAATTGGAATTATTCTAACAAGAGTTTTCACTTTACCTTCAGCTACACACTCATAATTAAATCACATGGCTTCACAGCAATTTACAAGATTGATTATCCTACTTTGAACATGACTGTCAATGCCACTAAATATTTTTTCAACAAAACAATAAACTTACTTCTTTTGCAGCTTTAGCTGACCAAGCCCCAGTAACAATATAATCAGCAGATGCTCCTTCTACAAAGAAACAACATTTTTATTTTATTTAACTAAACTACTTCTAATTAGTGAAAAAATAGAAATGTTTTCCTACACAATGCCCAAGACATTTTAACAAAATAATTCCTATTCTTGTGTATGTGATAAAACAACATGGTGGCCACCTGATCACCTACATGTACTGTACATGTATTTCTCAGTTGCCTTCTACTTTAAAGTGCTACTGAAACGAAATTTTCGTATCTGAAATATTTGCTCTAACCTATAGCAGAGCTTTCAATAAGACCCGGCACCCGCCGGCGCTCAGGCAGGTATTTTGTTGTGAATCGCCGGGTATTTTTCACCGTGCTCAAGTCGCACTCAAGTCGTTCTCCGGCGGGTGCTGTACCGAGGTAGCCACCTAGTTCAAATCTTATTGAGAGCACTGCTATAGTTTTGAATATGCTGATCATCATGAAATAATTTGCTTTGGCCAAAAAGAAGCAAAAGATATCTTTTTTAACCGTTCAAATCAAAAATTTTACACAAAACCATGTCCGGGCTCTGGTACCGAGCAAAATGGATTGATGACGTCACTGGTTGTGTTCACTCCGATAGCGTGGTTTATTTCACTCACTGTTTGTTTGTATTCGTGGGCGAAGGAGATGGCAGATATTGAAGTTTTGTCAAGTGAATCTTCTTCTGAACGAAGCGAAGTTGTCTCCAGTAGCGAAGACGAAGATGGTGGCGTAAAAATGGGGTTGACAGGCCTACACGACTCCCAAGCGCGTGTTTAGAGTAGCCTATTCAGAGTTTAGCCCTCACGAGTATGTCTTTGAGCGACCGCCCTCTTTTGCAAGACACGAGCGGCGGATTTTTGTATAGTTCGCTCAGTAGTGGTTGTGTTTCTATTAAATGCCAGTTTTTCATGAGAATTTGCTTTATGTGTGGCACTGAGTATGCACATCAGGGACTGCGTCTTTTTCGAATCATTCGCCTTTGTAGATGTACAGCTATTTTTTTGACTGTCTCGATCGTTAAGTTGTCTTGATTGCTTTCAGCTTGTGTCACGCTCGCTGATTCGATCGTAATACAGTTCTTAGTGTTCAGTTTTCCAGCCGTTTTGGTTCGTTTTCTTTTCTTTATTTCGGTATTAAAACAACCAATTTCACGTTCATAGAAGCACATGATTGCCTTTACTGTTTCTTGCTCCGCGTTGTTAAGGATTTGCTTTATCTCATTTTTGAAATCCTCGTCTGCTCTTATTTTGGCCCTTGCCCTATATTGTAGGGATTCCGGGCATGTTCTGCGAGGCATTTGGTACAGAGGGATTTGGGTTCTGTCCTGGTGTACCGGTTCACAAGGGAATTACCATTGTTCTTTCATTGTTTAGCTGTTGTGAATTGTTGGGTCTTTTGTATCAGCTCTTGTGAACCGGTACACGAGGACAGAACCGGGATTTGTTTGTTATCCTCAGACTTGCCGAGTAGATCATCTTCAGTAGCGGTGTCGTATGAGGCTTCCATGTTTTCTTCATTCTCTGAATGCCATTGCTTTGGCTCGGGGCGTTTAGTAGCCCATCTACTGTTATAATGTCTTTCGACATTTTCTGTAGATGGTCAAGCAAGACCACGGTTTCAATCCTAATCTTGTGGATCTCGTCAGTTTCCGATTAACTAAATAGACTGGTAGAGATTCGTTCTGGGTATCAGTCGGGAATTTTGCTCCCTATCTGGGCGAACCTCTCGCAGATAGCCAAGATGCCGATGTGGCCGCCGATGAATAAGACGAGGATGGCATTTTGCCCGAAATCCTCTTTATCGGCCTCCCAACATGCGAGCCACACTCCATGCTTTTACCCTTCGTTCACAGAAGTACACAACCAGTGACATCACAGGGCTGTTTTTGCCGCGCCAAGATGGCCGCCAATTTTGATCTCAGCCGGTCAACTTCGAATGGTTAAAAATGTACTTTCCGCTATGCGTAGGCCCAAAAAAAGTACACAGCGTTTGCAAATAACATTCAAACTCTATTATATTGCAAAAATCTTGGATATGAAAATTATGTTTCAGTAGCACTTTAACTCCCAAGATTTGACTGTCAATTCTCCCCTCTAGGTACCACACATTTCTTTGTGAATTGGTAATGAGAATTTGGTGTTAGATCAAGATAACAACTTCTACCTTATAAGTCTGAGTATTCTTTTTACCTGTTTGCTGAATAATGTAAGGATATTATAGGGAGAAGTTACATATTGATCACTTCTGAGACTTAAAGGGTTAAAACTCCTTCTGGACAGCCCTGCAAAGATAAGTTAGGCTCTTTTACCTCATAAAAACAATTTCTTTATACTATACCTTTGGCTAAATTAAGAGGAACTGCAGAAAACTGCCCGGTGCCACCTCCTTGAAGAAAAAGGACTTTGTAGTTGTCTGGTATATTACTGCAAATAAAACAGTTTCACCCTTCAAAAACTACTGACCGAACTAAGAATACTGTTCATAATCATTTGCATTTTAGAGTAACTGAAAAATTTTACAAGTAACTACTGAATATTTGACAAGTAAACTCACAGAAGTTCTCTGAGATCACTCTCAGCTTCATTGACAATCTTTGCAAAGTTCGCAGATCGGTGACTCATTTCTGTGAGGGGAGATACAAAAAGATAAAAGAGTTGCAGAAGATCTTTAGTTAAAAGATAATTATTTTCCTAACCATTATACAGTGGCTAGATGTACATATTGACAACTCTAACAAAGCACCTACGGTACCTGAAAAATCAAACCTTTTAAAGTGCCAAAAGACAAAACATAAAAAATAAAGCAAAAATAATGAAAATGTCTTCACATACCCATGACACTAATTCCAAGGTTGTCATAATTGAGCAATTCCTTTTGAGCTTGACCCAAAACCTAGCAGAACAAATTACAGCTAAACATTAACAAGAAACACTCAAACATGAGACAAGAAAGGGAATTTTTGTAAAACCAAGTTTTTCCTTGTTTCCAAAGTAATTACAAGTAGCAATAGAAGTATTACCCATCCCCTGGACGCAGGCAGTTTTCCTTTCAACTTATCCTGAATCAAAGCTGTGGTCTAGCAGCACCCAATGGCCCTTGGTGCCTTACTTTTGCTCTTGGGCAACTCAGGAATCTTTGTTTTTTCATAAAGAGCATAAGCTGGGCACCCTGAATTTCACAGTTTCCCTTCAATTCTCCTTAGAGCACAGCCTTGTGAATAGTCTACAACTGCTACCTATACAATTGTATACTGCTGGGTAGAAAGGGAGATTATCACTAAGAGCAATTTCTAATTCTCATGATCTGATTGTAAATTCTCCCCTCTGGCTACAACACATTCCCTTGTAAATTGGTTACAAGAATCTGGTGTTAGATCAAAATAACTTCTAACCTGATAACTTTGAGTATTATCACTACCAATTTGCTAAGTAATGTATGGATGTCACAGAAAGAAGTTATATGTTAATCAAATGTAGGAGTTCAAGGATTGAGGAAAAACAAAACAAAGACCTTCTCTTCACATAGTGAACATTACTTTCAAACTTTGGTAAATCCATTCTAGCAACCTTTTGTTCAACATTCGCAAGAAACAACTCGAAAAAGTCACCAGAAAACTATAAGCTTGTAATTGCCAGTTACGTAATCTGCAGAAGTGCAACTTTATTTGTAGTCTTATACTGATGGAAGAATATTGCAATGGATCTAACAATGCTGCTTCTAAAAAGCTTTAAAACGTCATTCGGGTACACAACGATGTAAATGTAGTACAAAATGACTTAAAGATCAGGATAAAAAAGCAAGCAATAAGAGCTTATTTCAAACATCTTTGCAGTTTCTCATGACAACAAAAGTAAATTTAAGCTAGAATAGATACAAAAGAGCCTTTCATTAGCATGCACTGACAACGTATTGTATGACGGCAAAAATGAATATTAAATTACTCAAATATTGCATCAGCCAAATTTTCTGCTATTTTCTAACAGAGAGCCATTATCCTTGCAAAAATACCAGCCGCTTCTCTAACTTTTCGTAACATACTTCCTACAGCAAATAATCGATGGTGAATCAAAGTGTATGCTCAGACCACACTGTGAATTTGTTTCTTGATTTATCTCGTCGATTTTTGAGAAGATGGCACAAAAAGAGAACCTATTTGTGCAGAGAAAAGGTTTCGAGACCCATTCATTTTTCCTGCAGGTCGCAGATACCAACGGCAAGGCAGGCACCGTCTCGATCAAGAGATCACTCGTAATATCCCAGCCCAAGGAATCTCCCTTTAATGTTTTGCTCTCCTCCCATATTAGGGAAATGGTTCACCTCGCTCCCCATATTAGGGAAACGCGCCAATTTTGTTGAGTTCGCGGATTTTGAAGTTAGCACTCGCGTCCGGGTTGGCCAAAGTACTTTCACTGATGTTTACCATTGATTTTGTTCTACTTTGGGCCGATTCATGGTGACTTTTGCCAAATAACGACGGCATTTGGTAGGAGATAGAAATCAAGTCGTGGTCTGTGCTAAATTCGTGTTATCAAGACGAGAAACAGTGACAGTTTTAACCGATTGCGACCGCCGTTAATGTTTGAGCAAATTAAAGCTTTCACTTTAAAAATGACTTGAATAGAGGGCTTTTCAGAACCTAGATTTTGAAAGAAATCCATTTACAACGAAAGAAAGGAAAGTCATGCAACGCAACATGGCAAGACAAAGCTAACTTCACCTCAGGCCCGCAAGGAAAATAAAATCAGAAATTAGAGAGAAATTGAAGACTGTTACACTTACGTCTTCGGGAAGTTTAGCAGGACCAGCAGAAAAGTTCAGAACCCGTTTATCTGTAGAAGCCATTAGAAGAGTTAACTCGATCGATGCACTTTTAATCAAGAAGGCCTGGAGGTAGTATTTCTTCAAGTGTAAAATAAGAGACAACGTTCTCGAAATTTTAAATTATGTGTTTTATGTAAAATTACAAATCAGCCTCGTTTTCGCAGCTGTCACGTCTGATCACCATTCAGGTCGCTAATTGGTCAATATTCATATGCACGTGAAAAAAGCATGGAGGTCCACAGAGCAAAGGAAAAATACGCATCACAGTGTTCTCGAGTGACTCAGGCGTTAAATAATGCACGCTAGGATAAAGCCTTGAGAATGTGACTGTGACCACAAGAACGCGATTACCTTAGACTTTTTAACAAAGCTCTTTACGATTTTCTTCGCAGCAAAATCGAAATGCCGTTTTAGTTAGTTTATTTTTGATGTTGCTTAAGAACAAAGTGATCGAAGTAAAATATTTTCCCATCTTGAAAAAAGACAACATTACGCAACGCCGAACAAGAGTGAGGGAATAGGCGGGGGGCGGCGGAATGGCGGGGAAGTGTCAGAGGAAGGAGTGTGACCTTTCTCTATCCCGGTACCAAGGGCCTCGCGACTTTTTGATATTGAAAATCACAACGATGGTAATGATTAATGCCACATTTCTGCTAGCAAATATATGTAAATTAATATTTACGTATTTCTACGTAAATTGCAGAATGATTGCAGAAATATAAGAGAAGAATACCCAACTAGTGGCGGGCAAGCAAACATTAAGAGCGAAACACTGTAAGGAACAGTGGCTTGAATTTGATCTAGTTTCGAGGCACATAACGCTTGTGTCTTTTGCGACGAGACATATGCGTGTATCTAACTCAGAACATGAGCTATTTTTAAATACGTCTATTTTCGAACGCACGTTGACGTATGAAATAATTGATTGGTTCATACGTCATCGTGCGTTCAACGAGATATGAAGGCTGATGAATGGCGCTACGCGCCAGGTCTAAAAATAGATATGTCTTCTTTGGACCCCCGCTGGTTTAGGACAAACACTCGGAGTCTTTACAAGGACTTGTATGCGAAACGTGTCAGAAGCAAGACTATTTTCGCTCAAAAAATGCTCTAACTTTCTAAAATGGTTGCAACTAGGCATTGCTGTTGGGGTACATGTAAAAATGACTCAAGATATCCAGAAAGATTGCCAGATTCGCTTAAAGAAATGCTTAAAAATGGTCGGAAAGGCTTCATACCGTTCCCAAAGCCGAAGCATGACTTGGAACTTTGTCAACGCTGGGTAAATGCGTGTTCTAGAAAGAATTTCTCAGTTGATAGTGTTAACTACAATACTTATATTTGTGCTGTACACGGAAATCCTTGACAAAAGCCTTTTCAAACCGCTTGTTTGGAAACGTTACGTAGACGACATCTTCTCGCTATGGAGTGCAAACAAAG